TTTCTTTACCTAAATTCAGGCGACGTCTTCCTTGTAAAAGAAATCCCTACTCTATATCGGACAAACCAGCCTTCTTAAATAACTACATATCGGCTCCGATTCTAATCAAAAATTTAATACTATGGCGTCGTGACTTATTTTCCCATTGGTTAAAAAAATCACAAAATGTATCTCTTTAAACTATACCCGTTCGCAAACTCTATTTTGGCAGTTTTTCAGATCATGGTGGTCTTACCATACAAGTTATGTCCAGTGAAACTGCATTATCCTGCTGGAATAACCCATTGATGTTGTGGGTAAATGCAGTGCATTGTAGCGGTTACTGACGTATTTAAGCGGACTAGTGGGTACAATTCATGACCACAACAAACCCACATCATTATGGAACCAACCGCCAGCCTGTACGATGCCATTTTGACAAATGGTGTCCATGGCCACATGAGGTTTGTACCATAACCAAATCCTAGCATCAGATCAAAATAACGGGAACTGTGACCCATCGTACCACACATTGCCAGTCCTCCACTTGACTGTTATCATAGACAATTCTAGCCATATGCCTCTGCTAAGGGTCAATAAGTACTTATGGATGCCTTCCATCAGATACTTCCGATATACTCATTACACTCCAGAACAAGGGATGTCAAATATTCCTAGTTTCAAAAATGCAAGTCATCTGTCTGGTACCTATATTCACACTCCATTTCAACTCTAACAATTCATGTCACTTTGCCTTGAACAGTCTAGTAGGTGTTCACTTTGACTCACCAGACGTCAAAGAAAATTGATATCGGTCTGATATTTGTCTGACATCAAAGTAAGGTGGTGGTACTACCTACTATTAACTTTACATAAAACTAATTTGGAATTTGGGCATATATTAAAAGTACAAAGTTCAAGGTAGAAGCATTTTTCATTGTTCTGGATACTGTGCATAGGGATTGGAAATGGATTTTTATCAGAATCTAAAGTGTCTTAATTTCTTATAACTTCATAGACTTTACTGTTGGTTATATCTTTAATGCAACCAAGCACCGACTAAAAGGGAATAAATAGATAAATAAATGAAAACTATTAAAAAATGTGCCACTTGGTTAGTGTTGAAACTTGACTAATGCATGGAATAATAATATAACACAAAATGTACTTAGAACAAAATGTATTGAAACAAGAAAGGTACACAATATTCACATATAGTCTTTTGCATGTTCTTGGGAAGACCGTTCTTGGAATGTGTTGACTTAGTCGCAGTCGGGCAGAGTCTCTGGATTGGATCTCGTGATTCCTCCCACACTCTTCCCGGTACCAACCATATTTATATGGTCGGTACTCCACTATGCAAATTAGGTGGATCCTACCACAACAGTTAGAAAATTTCGCCCACTTGCTTATATAGTCAGAAGTATGGGTAATTCTGATGCTGTTAGGTTTTTTAATGTTGAAAGTACAAATAAATCTATAGGTTTAGTTTTATTGACCGTTTACATTTTTATTTTTGAGAGTTAAGGTTTTAATTTATGTCAATTTGAGATGGTCCTGAATTAGCATGTCACACAAAAGAACAACTGTACAAAGTGATTGGTTTACAAGTTGTTACTAATGAATTCAAACTTAACTGAAAATACCATCCATAGAATATTTTTCTATGATAATGAAATGAGTATTTATTAAGCTGATTTCAACAGATTGCCACATTAACAGACTAATCAAATCTTCTAAATGTGATAAAGGACTATACTACTAAAATATACTATGATGGCCAAACTATTAATGCAAAACCAACCATTATTCAATAATAATCACTCAATTTTTGTAACATGTATTTATAATCAAATTTATATTTAGCAGTGTATGAACATGGAGTTTTAAAGACTCAAGATTGGGTAGTAAAGCATAAATGACAGTCAACAATGAATTAGTCATCTTTACCTTACACATTTATTCCAAAAAGGTTTATAAAACCCATTCTTCTAGAACCTAACACAGAATCAATCTTTAAAGACTAACATATGTATAGCTAAATAAATCTAGTACTTATGCAAATTCATTACCAGAATCTGTTTTAATATATAAATAAAATAAAAAATTCAACTAAAAATCTTTAGTTGACTTTGAAGTACTGATCAAAGATCCGAATAATTTCTAAATTGAACATATCTGATATAAAAGACTGAATGAGAAGACTGTTCATTTCCAAAAGTCACCTTGGAAGACAATCTGATAGAAAAATCTGATATTTTGTACACAAATGGTATATTCCTAAGATCCAACTATGCATGCCAGCAAGGTCACAATTATGAATGGCAGCAAATGTTGCTGTAATAGGAAACTGTTGAATGCATGCTTTAATCTGTCATAAGAGAGAAAGTATCATTGTCTTTCTTATACCAGATTACATGAATGCCTTTGATGAAGATCATAGTGGCAATGAGGCAGAGACAGTCCTTGGTGACTAATCAGTAGTGCTACAAAACTGAATTTTGAACTTTGATTGGCAAAAAGGATCTACTAGTTTTAATTTAATAAAATAAAAATCTTCAGCTTCTTAGAGATTCAAAGAGGTTTGTGAGGACCGACTATATATATATATATATATATATATATATATATATATATATATATATATATATATATACACACACACACACAAAAAAAAAAAAAAAAAAAAACAATTCCAATCACAAGTGCTCACACCCACATTAGAGAAACATTTCTCATGTCAATACTTGCCAAAAGTAGCAACATTTATGGCTTATGCTGTTGCCAAATTATGCTAACAGATTTTATAACAAAGTGGCCATCTTTTATGAAAGGCTCTCACAAAAGTTTTACAAAGATGATTTAAGAACTACATGGAACATCAGACAGTCAAAAGTTGAGATATAAATGCTAGTAGTTGACCTCTGAATCTATTCAGAGGAAAACTAATATACATGAATCCCTCAAATAGTGTGGCTAATGTGTACATCGGTATTAAAAAATTTATAAATATATAATTTTCAATTAATATTATTAAAACTGAATGTTTTACTACACCAATGTATGTACTAGTCAAATTTTGGTACATAAAATTTTAGCAAACTAATCAAAAACGTCTGTATATTACAAGCACAATTTTTTTTTCTTCAACCATCTTATACTTAAGGTTCTACTTCAAATTTTAGTTCCTTCTGAAAATAGATTTTTTGAGCATAACTGGTCAGGTCCAACAGATACATATGTTCACATAGCCTGTGAACATATGTATCTGCGGACCTGACCAGTCTACTTTGCTCAAGACAGGTTACACATGAATGAATACCTAGACATGTAACAGGAGCGAGATAGTGACACTATAACTATACTCAGTAATGGTACTGCCTTTTTCTTTTAATTTTTGCTTAAATTACATGGAGATTCTTTGAAACACACACACATATATTGTATTAATTACATTTACCGGCCTGAAAACAGAAAATATATTACAATAATTGTCAGACATAATACATTCTATAATATACTGTCATTAAGATATTTTGCAAGCAGATATGGCCGATGAGAAAAATTGAAGATATGTTTATAAATAAAAGTTAAGTTTTCTAACCAAATGCTTCTTTCTGACTGCATAGTTATTAGCACATCAGATCAAATGAGGGTTCCCATTAAAGGTTACAGTACAGGTTCGATATGTCCAGAGAAGCATATATTTTCTACAAAATTTCTTACATTCAGGCTGGTAAATGTGATCAATGCAGTAAAAAACCATTTACTTAAATTATATAATAAAACAGATTTTTAAGGGCAAGAAGTTCACATTAGCAAATAAAACTCCACACCTCTAACTAATCAAAGTGAAAGTCTTCAAAATAAAAATATTCAAACCAACATTTAGCAATAACTTTCAAAATCACACAAATAAAATTATCTTTACAAACCAGATTTAAAGCCCCCAAATACTAATACTTTATTTTTAGTCAGATCATTGCAATTAGATAAAATTGGAAAATATAATCCAGATATAAAAACTCTTGCTGTAATAACCACCAGTATTCATCATTATATATATATATATATATATATATATATATATATATATATATATATATATATATATATATAAAGCTAAATATTACTTGTGAAATCATAAGTTTAAAGTGTACAATACTTCATCCCCTTCCCCCATACCCACACTTTCAAATTAGCACATTCAAGTCAAAATATAAATTGTTAAATAAAAAATACAAATTACATGTAAAAATAAATATTTTTATTTACAAATAAATTAAATCTGAAAAGTTGATGAAAAAAAAAAAAAAAAAAAAAAAAAAAAAAAAAAGGTCAATGAATTTTTATGATGAACATCAGAAGGTATTTTGAACAAAGGTGCAAAAGTTAGAGAAAGTTACCAGCTTGGTTGTGATGTTTTTCATTTTATTTGTTGTTTCAGAAAACTGACAGGACTTCCAGAACAATTCCTTGATAATTGAAATTTAGAGAGAATAGTTTTTATTTTTTTTATTTGAATTTTGCAATTCAGTTTATATCAGCAAAGAATCCAAAAATGGAAGTTTTCAGCAACCACTTCCATTACTTTTTTTTTTTTTTCGAAAAAAAAGATTCATTTATGCTTCATTCTCCCTTGTTTTCAGCAGTGTATATGGTAAAAATCCCAAACTCAATTTTAATGTATATTCAGTATATTATATAAACTGAACAGTTATGTCTTTGCTCCCCAAGCACGGCCAGCTCTCTTATGACATTCCTCTTTCTATAACAGCAGCTGCAATAAGCAATAGTTTGCTAAAACATAAATGGCAGTGCAAAACGTTATAGCCAGCTAGAAGAGTAGTAATTAGCTCCTTCCAATTTAAGAAACCAAGAGGTCCCAATGAATAAAACAAAAAGAAAAAGCCAATAGGATCGAATGTTGATTTTGGCCTGCTCTGTAGGTGGGTATTTCAGGCCTATTCAGCTCAATTTATCTTCCATAAGAGATGGAATAGTTTTATTTGACTGGTAGCTTAGATTGGTTGGCCATTGATGCAGAAATCATCAGCTATTGACTGGAAAAGAAAAAAAAAATTAAAATTAAAATTGAATGACAGCAAATAAGATTACTGAAGTAATTTAAATAGCAAACAGCATATTAGCATTAAGACAGAAAAGAAAAAAAATCTATATATACTAAATCACAGCTAAGAAAGTTATTCATCCTTACCGTTTCTTCTTCTGATTCATCAGATGAATAATCAGTGATAGCAGCACCATTGAGTTGTAACATCTGCTTAATTTCGATGTGATTGCGACCTTCAGCCAAGTACAGCGCAGACATACCACTGTAAGTGGTGGCATTAATGTCCAACTGAGAATAATTGAACAATAAGTTTACCAGAGTTGCATTCCCATGTTCAGCAGCATAATGAAGCACTGTGCGTCCACTTTTGCCATCCTGATAAAAGAAACATTTTTAGTTATAATCAACAAGATTATCTTTTAGAAATATGCTGTCAAATTTGTTGAACATTCCTACATATATAAATGCCTTAAAATGAAGTTTAGGATTCCTTCACATTTAAGACCACAGTTTAAGAGAAGAATTAGCTGACAAAATGTTCATTAACAGAAATTTTGGAAAATGTAATAAAGATTTTACTTTCAATAACAAAATGATGTTATCTGGTGATAAAAGCATCAGATTTGGCTAGAAGTTATATTTCCATTGTTATCAAGTATATATTTGAAGAGAAAAAAAATTGCACATGCTTATTTGCAAATGTTTGTTAGAATGGACAAGAAAAATGCTAACAAATTACTTTTTTTTTAAAAATTAAGATGTTAATAGCTATAGTGCTATGAGCTACCTTACAAGTTTTAGAAAAATTTGTTCCTTAAAAGGCTTTTACACTTACCTGAACATTAATGTTAGCACCTTTGCTGAGCAATAATTCAATCATCCGGTAATGTTTCTGGAGGGCAGCAATGTGAAGGCAAGTCAAACCTTTAAGTAAACAATATTTTATATTGAAATAAAATTAATGTTCCTTAGACACTTACATTAACAGAAAGCTTTTAAAATATCAGCAGGATATGACAAAAACTTTGATATATATTGTAAGTTTCAAGTTTAAAATTGACAAACACGGTATATTAGAACAGCATCTACTAGTATTAAAATTATTGCTACAATTAAGTTGGCAAGAAATCTAGAAGAGTTTTAGAGAAAAATAAAAGAAATTTGAAGTCCTACCATCGTAATTTCTCAAATCCAGCATCAAATGATTGGAAGCATATTGAAACATGATTTGGGCAATATCTATGTTTCCTTCACGGCAGGCAATATGCAACGCAGTGTTTCCATAGTAGTCAGGGATGTCCACAGCAACATTGCATTTCAGTAGGATCTCAACTATTTGTAACTGTTTGGTGATCACAGCCAAGTGCAAGGGAGTTTGAAAAAAGTTGTTCTGCAGATTAAGGAGATACATAGAATCCATTGCTCTTACTCCATGAATGTAATCCTCAGCAATTTGAAGACTTTCTCTAATGATAGCCAAATGCAATAAGCTGAAAAAAATAAAATAATATCATTTAGGACATGAAATCATGTTTGCATAAAATGAATACAGGATTGATTTAACAGTCACTATCTTGGATATTTGAACTCTTAAATATTGCATTTTGGGCCATGATCAATGCATAGTATCTGTTCTCGCTTTACAAGTGAATAGGTGTCTGATTCTAGGGGTTCCAACTGTGTAGCAACATCTCCCTCATTGCACTAGAAAGAGAGTCGCTGGAATATCACCGCAATCTTGATAGTGTCATTAACTAGGTAATTTTGAAGTGGGCCAAACGAAGGCAGATGTAAGTCCTGGTGTCACACCTTGCCACAGTGGAAATGCAAGTATATCTAAATCTGTCTTGCTCATAAAAGTTACTATTATTATGAAATGCCGTTTTGAACTATGCATTACTTTGAAAACTTATTAAATTATATCAATGATTCCGATATACATCCCCGACGCTGGCTTTACAAGATGCACATGTGTCATCCTAAGAACATTTTCTCGTAAGACAGAAGAAGGCAGTAGCATAGCACTCAAATTTATTTACCTCACAAACATTATTCATTCAATGAAAGTCATTATGATTAAAACTTGGCTAAAAATAGTAGCATCGTCAGTTTTACAAACAATTATCATAATTGAATTATGTAAGTTTTAAATTAGTGATGAAGGAAAGGAAGTTAAGGAGAGTCATGATCGCCTACATCCTGAAGGGAGACTGTACAAAGATGAACTATTTTTTTTACTTTGACTAAAATTGTATTGAGTAGGTTTCTAAGCTAAGCACCATTGCAAATGAATGCAGGCAGAGTAAGTAAATATCACTTATTATTAACCACCACTACTGCGTGAAATAATTGATACTCGTCGTAGGTATTCCGATGAGTAAGTAAGTTTGCGATTAACATTGAACTAAATTTCACGCTTTTAATGTGTACATTCCGGACAAGAGCAGAAAATAATTCAGATTTAAGATAAAATAGGTCTTTAAAAGACATTTAGGAACAGATTGTCTTAATTTTAATTGCGTATTGGCAAAAAAGTAAAGACGAAAGTTTTTAATGGGTGGAAACCTAGCAAGAAGCGAGTTTGGTAGGGTAGACAAACACGAATAAAAAATATATAGGCAAGTATTGAATCGGGAAATATGTCAAATTGGAAAAATTTTGCTTGGGCATGAAAATTTTTTTTTTTACGTTTCAAGTATTTATTTATGTGCGCTTTATATAGATGAGCAAGTCACCATAATTGAAAAGTCACGTGATAGCCATTGACAAATCGCTGCAGTTGGAAAATCCAATTGCTTTAAATAGCCACTTATAAAAATACTGCTGCTTCCTTTAACCACCCGACCCAGTAATATTCAGATCATTTTAAATTATCAGACTTGCAGGGTATGCAAAAAAAAAAAAAAAAATGGACGAAATTAGAAATAGAAATTAAAAACGTTAAGTTACTGCGATTGTTTTAACTGAATTGAATAGCCTTCTTCATAGATAAATTCAGCTATTAGTAAACAATGACTAATTAGGGAAAATTTTATTGAAATCTAATTTTTGAGAGAGACTTAAGATCAGGTGTAGACTCGACCTTCCCAATTGCGCGTAAACGCAAATAGGAAATCATAATTAGAACTGAAATGTTCCGTTGACATTCAAAGAATGTTGCCATTCATCTATTGAAAAAGTTTATGGGCTTGTTAGTGTCGTCACAGTTATATCAGCATTTTCTTTTTTTTTAATGCAGTTTACTGTTTACAAGAAAACATTAATGGAAGTACTTTGAAACAAAAATACTTTAAAACAAAAGTAAAACTTTTTTTTTTTTTTTTTTACTTACCTATCTCCTTCGTCGTTCTGGTGGCTCAACAGATGACTAGAATCTTTCGAAACAGAAAAATCCAAACAGTCGTCATCTTCAGTCTCTGGTATACATGTAAGTTCCGATTTTAACTCCGAATAAGAGCTGACAGATGTTTTATCGTCAGTGTCGAACGAACTGAGAGAAGTTGCAGAATGGCTACTGCTGTAAGCAGAATCGAAAGAAGTGCTTTGTAGATCAAGTTTTCGAAATTTACGATCCATTTCGACGATATTGTCTCGTAAAGTTGGTACTGATGTAGAATCGCATTCTAGATCACTGTCAATTCTATTTTGACTATATGCCATGATTGCTTTTGAATTGAAATAAATTCGTTTACTAGTGATTTTTTTTTTTTTTTTTACAATTTGTCAATTTTTTTTTAAGAAAAAAATTATTTCTTTGTTACGTATAAATAAATCCCAAGCGTAAATTGAAAGATTGTTTTTAAATAAAATACGTTGTATATGAAATTAATTTTTTAAAAAAAGAAACCAAAATGGTCGATTTGTGTTGAAACTTGAAGAGAAATACTCAATCAATCCTACTTTATGAACTACAATGTAATAATAGCAATCCTGAATTAAAACTGAAATATTTCCGTTACTGCGTTCTCACATTCACAGGTCACAACGTTATGAAAAGTGACGACAGTAAGACGTCTTTTTATAAAGTCGACATGAATGCTGGAAATACCCAATTTTATTGACTCACTCCCTATATTAAGACTTCTTCCTCTCTCTAACCCTCCCTATTTCTTTTCTCTTTCCTCTCACTTCTACTCCACCTTGCAAAAGATTCAAATGCGTGGCTGTAAATTTTCCCCGTATATAAAAAAAATTACCAGATTTTTTCCTTACACGTAAAAAAAATAATTTTCCTTTTCCCAATTTATATGGGGATTTTTTTTTAAATCATGCACAATACTTTCTGTTGACAATTACATTTTCGTAAAATCTATATTTGTGCTCGATACTGAAATTTAATTAATGATTAATTTTCCCAGTACAAATTTTTAAAATCATGTTTCAAAAATAAAACTTACTTAATAAATAGGACTTTTTTTTTTTTTTTAATAACTTTCCTCTCTGGCTCTTGTTATTTTAAAGCTTTTTACAATTCATGAAAATTTGTCCAATGGCCTAGTTTTCATTTTTTTTCTTTTTGCACATAAATATGTGCAACCAATAGGGGTTTCATTGGGTGTTTCTACAGTACACCCACACATACACAATTCAATTAAGTAAGAGCAAAAGTTGAACAAGAGCGATTTTAAAGTTATTTATTTTTGTCTGTAAATAAAATGAAAATGAGTAAATTTTTTACTTGTAATTAACAATATTCTCCAGTTTTATTTTGTTTTTCGTTTTAAAATTGAGTTTAATGAAAAACTGTTCATCTTTTTTGTTGTTTAACTTGCAATACTTTCAGATTTTTTTTCTTTTTCTCAACTAGAAACTAAACTACAGAAACTTTTTGGAGGGAGAGTAATAAAATATGTATAATTAAGAAAACCCAAGAATAAGTGGTTTCTGAAGTAAGTCTAAAAATGAAGAAAATGTACACCCAAAAATATTAGCCTAGAAAACCATATACCATAGTACATACAAGTATTCCGCATATTTCTCCAGCAGCTGAACTCATTTTTGCTACGTTGTTTCTTTTTCTTTTCTCATTTCTTTTTTTTTTTAAACATATAACAAAAAATTGTTGGTTATTAAAATATTGATTTTGGGAAGTGAGTCATGCCAAGTATTTTTCAGCGCCCCAACATATCTTGGATATTATTACCACACTAACCAGGGTGAATATTTCTCTGATTATCTGAGTTATGTTTGATTGTTTTATCACAGGTAGCACAAACTCAAAATTTCAATTTGCACTGAAAAAAAATATGATACAAATTTTCTGTATCTAGTTTTCTGTCATGTTTCTCACTCTCAACATTTGAGTATTTTTCTTCCAAAACGCAATACAGTAATCAGTTAATCAGAATTAACTTAACGACAGTCAAATATTGTATGTGTATGGTGAAAATGAATATTATAAACCAAAAAAATCACAATATTAATTCTGTATGTTATTGAATGTGAAGTATACTCTAAAACCATAAAACTAAGTAAGAAAGGTTACAATGACTTTGTCTTGGTCATATCAATAAAAAGCAACAAAAATAGTCCCACAAGAAGAATTAAATATACAACTCTATTTCTAATATATTTAACTGGAAATAACTTTTTAATAAATCATTCTTGTATAATATATTGCAAGTAAGAAATGTTTCTCAATTGAATGTTTCATGTATTGTATACTACAATTGATTTTCTCCAAATGCATTCTTTATTTAAAAATTGATGCATATTTCAATCTGGAACAGAAGCAGTTGTAGTTATACAACATGAAGTAATGTATAAAAGCATGTGGTGAATTAAAGATTTTAACAAAATGACTTATAATGTAATTTGATGCATTTTTTGCTTCTCTTCAAAATGAAAAAGTATAATATAGGAAATAACAATGAACAAAAGGAATTTCATGAAACTGCTTCAGGCACAATTAATTGAGTCTTTTTATACCATTAGACAATAATTTTTAAACTAAAAGATTTTGTTTTCATATTTTAAAAATTCAAGCAGAAAATCTTTAAAATGATAATTTCAAAATGGCAGAAAACCTCAGATTATTTACAGCTTATCTAAAATAATGGCTTAAGGTTGAAAAAAAATTTACAATGATCTGTAATTTGCAAGAACTTCTTTAAAGATGATATTTTTTGTAATAATTATCTCTTCTGCCTTCATGTCTCCCTTAATTTACCTTATACTCTTTGGTTAAAAAGGAAAAAGCAACAAGTGAATACAAGTATTTATATATAAACACTTTTGAATAAAACAATATAACCATGGAAAAAACATCAAGGTGAGGGAACAAAAGAAAAAAAAAGAAAGAATCTAATATTGAAGATTTTAATAGATGAGCATTTAAAATTTAAACCTAACATTGTTTTCCTTTGGTTTCTTTGTGATAACAGCCTCACTAACTCAGCACTTAAAAATACTTTTTGATTTTAATACTTGATGATTCTATAAAGTATAATAATATTATTAATGCTAAAAAATGATGCAATAAAATATGAAAAAAATCACTAGGGTTTCCTGTTACAAAGTTTATCTTCTATAAAAAAGCTGACACTGTCTTATCAAACAATGAAACACAGATCATATTTTTACCTGATTATAAATTCATGCCCGTGTGTTGATGAAAACAAATTGGAACTGTTGTGTTGTTACATGCATTTTTTAAATGAAAAAAACTGACACATTTTCATTTATCAATTCTAATATTAAAGAGATAAAAAAAAATGCTCTTTTGGAATTTGTTTAAGAAAAAAAATGAAAACATTGACTAAAACAGACACACTTCACACAAAAAATATTTGTACAGTTTCTAAAGAAAGGAATGTGACTGATCAAATGTGTCAAAAGTGATTTTCAAATTTTCACTCTAGAGATTTCTCACGGAATGACACTCCACATTTGGATAGACCTGTTGAGATCAATAACAATCAAAGGCAAGCATTGAAAATCATCTGTGGCAGCTTGTTGATGTTAATTGTGTTGAAGTAATACTTTAAATCTCTATCCTGCTTCCTTTCCATTTACATTATATATATATATATATATATATATATGCAAACGCAGATAGATAAATTGTCGTCTAAATTAGGCAAAAATGTAAATAACACTGACATCTTATTTTAACAGATATATTTACCAAAATAACATAAAAATATCTTGAAATACTAAAGAGTATATTTATTCAATAAAATCGCCATTGGCTTCAACCACAACCTACAACCTACTCTTCTGGACAGTTTCCGTGTTTAAATTGGTGAATGCTGCCATAATGCTTGCCTTCAGTTCACCTTTGGTGTTACAAGGAGTTTTGTTGGTCTCTCGCTCAAATGTGCCCCTCGCATAATAATCAAAGGGTTGCAGTCTGGGCAGTTAAGTGGCCAGATGATATGGTCGCAGAAATTGTCTGACAGCCATGGGTTCTCCTGCTTGTGTGGCATGGTGCAGAGTCCTGTTGCCAGATATAGGGTCTTCCAGTAGCCACCCTCTTGACCCAGTGCAGCACTACCTTCTCAAAGCATTTGGTGTAGGCCTCCATGTTGAGTTTGTGGCACTGTGGGAAGATGAATGGAGGCATAGAGTCACCATCAACAGTGATCACCCCAGCACCTTCGTAATCACCATTAGACTCATCCAACTCTTTCCCAATCCTCTGCACTGTCCTCAGATTGACACCCAAAGACTCTGAAATGTTTGTATTGAAGATTCTGTCATGAATGCCAAGCAGAACACTATGCTGTTTCCAAATTTCTGGCCAAGTGAATAGCATCATGGTGCTCATTTTCTCACGGATGGTGCCCAACTGCAGTCAACAAAATCCAAAACAAACAACACATGTGCAAATTAAAAATATAAAATGATAACAATTTATCCATCACAGCATATATATATATATATATATATATATATATATATATATATATATATGATGAGGATCTGAAAAGTTCTAGGGTTGACCCATTTCCAAAAATCAGTATTTTTAAAACCCAAATTTTAATGCCAGATTGTCAACATTTTTCATGTGTGTGTGTGTATAAAGATAATGGACTCTCCCTTCATTTTACACATATGAGTGTCAAGCAACTCAATTCCTAGAAAATGACAGCCAGACTACCTGCACAAATCATTTGATTATAGTGGTGAAGGCTTTGTGCAGAACCAACCACACTTTTTGAAGAGCCGAATACAGAAAACTGGTGTACTGTGTGCCACAAGATCCTCAACGAACCCTCCACAGGTTTCCAATTCAGAGTTGTTGTTCTCCTAGGCCAGTTGCCATAAAGCCTATAGAACCCAGTCTGTCCTGGGAGAAGAGGATTGATACCTTTCCCAAGGGTATTAGCACAAATGGAATTCAAACTCAAATTCCTCAACCTGAGTCACTATCCATTACACCACCATGCCCCCACTATATATATATATATATATATATATATATATATATATATATATATATATATATGCACAGTTTGATGTAATGATTAATGGTTCAGAATTTGAAATTGGCAAGTCAAGTTAAAATTCAAGTCTATTTCATTACCTTCCCTTTCATACTTTCCCTTGAGGAAAGTATGAATCCCCCTCTTCCC